CTTATGCTACTAATAAATTTGTTAGTCTCTAAGGTGCCACAAGTACTCCTGTTCTTCTTTTTTAAAATTGAAAGTGGAGTTGCATGTACCCATAGATACAGGGTAGTTGTCAGCACTGGCCTTTACCAGCAGTTAAAAACCAAGGCCATCAATCAGAAAGCAAGAACTTGGTCTCAATGTTTCATTAAGTTGATAATTATGTGTACCATACCTGAACAAAGTTTGTGATGTTCTTCTGGGGTTAGCACCGTATGAAAGGCAGCAGTACCCAGATCAATTGCACACCTATGCTCTTACAAGTGTAATGACTGAGACGAGTTCTGGACTATGTCTGGAGCAGTCTTATCGGCACAGCACTACTACAATCTGTGAAGACCACTTTCAGTTAAGAAAGCGGGAACATTTAGGTTGAATATCACAGTCTCCATTTCCTTGTGCTCCCCGACTGTCTATTGTATGCATCTGTTGTCCCTTATCTTATCCTTAGGTTGTAAGCTCTTTGGAATGGGGACTAGCTGTTTGTTACATGTTTATACAGTGCCTATCACAATAGGGGTGCTGGTTCACGACTGGTGTGCTTAGGTGCTAATGGAACATAAATAACAAGGACACCCTTGCTAACAGTTTCAGAGTGGTAGCCGTGTTAGTCTGTATCAGCAAAAAGGAGGAGTACCTTAGTCTCTAAGGTGCCACAAGTACTCCTCGTTCTTCTTGATAACAGTGGTATCTACTGGACTGTGAAACTTAGAAACTTGGGCTCCATCCCTACTTTTTTATCCTGTCAACCAGTGTCAAGAATGTTAATGGTTGACAGATTTAGAAAAGATGAAAAGAAAGGGACAAATTCTTTGCTGGTATAAATGGGCAAGAAGAATTAGAGTTGATAGGCTTCATTTACAGCAGCAGATAATTTGGCCTAAACACCTCTTCATACAGGGAGCACCCAGCATGTGACATTCCCTTCCTCAGGAGTTCATGGCATAAGAGACTTGTGCTTGAGGACGGAATGCTGCGGGCCTTGCCCTCAGGTCATCATTTACCGCAATGCAAAGCAGCACTGGCAAAGGGGCCGGTCCACCCTTTCTTCTGAAAGCACCAAGGATTAGTCATTGCCCAAAGCAGACCACCTTACCCGAAGAGCCAATAGCCTGATCTGATGTGGCAAATGATTTCTCAAGACCTACATTTTTTTTTAAATGGCTGATTTGCAGTCATCAGCAGGAAAGACTATTAATTTAGCAGTGCCACTTGCTGCTGTTATAACTTGAATCATTTATCATTTCTGCTGAGTAGGTTTAATAACGTTCTTTAGAACATTACAGGGTAACATGAATGTAAATTGTTATGGTAGTTTGCATTCACTTGAACGCGGAAGGCCTGAATTTATGTGAAGCCATACATAACCCTGTCTGTTTCATTCCTTCATTGTATATAGCGTCTCTCACACTGTCCTCACGGCTCTGCATGCCTCCCAGTACAAGTGAATAATGATAGTACTGAACATTTATATGGCACCTTCCATCAAAAGATCTCAAAGCACTTCATGTTGTTGTTTTTTTTAAATCACCCAAACCTCTGTCAGATAAGCATTCATATGTTACAGATGCGGAAACTGAGGCACGTGAGATCCTGACTCCCAATCCTCTGCTCTCACCCTAGACCCTGCTTTCTTTCCAAGCTGGGAAAATTACCCACCCTGTAGTTATGGCGCCAGCCTAGGACTTTGGAGATCCAGGTTCGATCTCCTGCTCCACCATAGACTTCCCACGTGACCTTAGGCAAGTCATTTAACTTCTCTTTGCCTCAGTTTCCCATCTGTGAGCAGGGATACTAGCACTGTCCTATCTCACAGGGAGGGTTATGAAGATAAATGCATGAAAGACTGTGAGGTGCTCATATGCTGCAGTGATGCAGGCCAGGTAAGAACCTTAGAAAGACAGATTCCTCGTTCACGGCTCTCAACACTAGACCACACACATTTCCAGAGCCAGGAACCAGAACCTGTGACTCCTGTCTCTGAGTTCTGTGCCTTAGACCCAAAGGCTGACATTCTGACCAATACCGCACCATCTGTCAATCCAGAGTAACACCACTGATATCAGAGTTACTCTGGACTTACTCTGGTTTCCGTTCGATCGGAATCTGGCCCAACATGATAATTCCACTTGGCAAGACGCCTGTCCTCCAGGTACTAGCAGAAAGGAAGGATTCTGCACTTACTGGTGAATGTGATGTTGAAGCCCCTCTTCTCCATGGAGTGGTCGGTCTGGAACTCAAGCCTGGCTACGTGGCCGCTGCTGGTCAGAGACGAAGGGATTTGGCTCCCTGAGAAGGTCCCCAATACCGGAGACTCAGGGGTCCCTCCATCTTTCACGGCTAGGAAATCAAACTGAGGCTCCACATCAAAATCATTGAAAGCCAAGTGGATCCGGCTCTCAGGCTTAGCTATAATTAACCAAACACAGTGCAAGCTGCTCCCGTATTCTTCAGGATAATTTGGTGACAGGACAATCCCAGACGGGGTGGTGAAGTTGAAAAAGCAGGAAACTGCAATGAGAAATCGCCATCAATCATGCAGCACACAGTTCCTATAACCCTGACTTGTTAATCCCCCACCCCCACCCCCATGCAAATTCACAACCTTTTTGCTTCTCAAAGAATTTAGGATGGGAAGGGATCAGTGCTCCATTCACTGCTGGGCATCAGTGATTTATTTATAAAGGGGAGTAAGAAATATCTTCAATCCAAAAAATATTCTCTGGTCCTTGGTTCTGAATGGTCAATAATTTTCCAGCCAGGGATTGCATTGTCCCCTTTTTTATGCTATGTGTAACCCTGAAGCTTTAAAGTCCCACCATGCCTGCAATGGATTTCATGCCCCCCCTACCCTGCAGGAAGTAGCATGTGGATTTCTTTCTTTCTCTTTCAAGAACTCAATGTTACTTAATGGAATTCACCCTGCAGGAGAGTTTGCACCTTGCAGGGTGAATTCCATTGAATAACACTTAGCTGTTAAAAAAAAAAACCCTCAACCATCCCCTTTCAGCAGGACAGGGAGCATTTTAAAGCTTCAGGGTGCTATTTGGTTTACATGATCATTTGCTAAATGCAGTTCTAACCTAAGTCCCAATGCTACAAATCCACATAGCTCGGTGCACATAAGCAGCCTCCCTGAACTCAACAGGATTCTTCTTATGCATAGCATTCCCATATGTTAAGTTCTTGCAGGACAGGGCTACAAATTGCAAGCTCCTTGGGGGAAGGAGCTGTGGGGGCTCGATTCACCATTGGCCTGCCACTTTTGCAGTCATTTGCACCAAAACAATGTGGGTATAAAACAGTGCCGCTGTGATTTGAGAGCCACTTTGCACGGGGGTCAATCACTTCCCAGGGAATAGGCCCAGTGACTGGATTTTCTCTAAAAAATGCTGTGCATACTCACACTGCTTGGTGCAAACAGACATGGCAACATATGATTGGCCAAGCTCTAGAGTGCTGAGTGCACTGGACAGAACCCTTTCCATTAGGAATAAATCACTGACTTTCACCAGACTAACGATGTCAAGAAGAATCGCACTGGACTCCTGCCCCTGTGAACATAATTAATTGTGTGGAGCGTGGAGGGGTAACCAGTGCAAATGAAAAATCCTCAGCCCTCTAGGGGGTGACTGTTTTCAATATAGGCTGTATTTTAGCTGACAGGGTCCATTAGTTCTGAACTGCAATGCTACTATCTAATTGATACCTACCGGATGATGGTTATGCTTTATATACATCTTGCTTGCTCCTTTCCCCGCCCCCACCACATCGCCTGATATACATTTATTAAAAGCTATCATTTAATACGCTTTTCATGCTAATTCCTGGCACGAGGCTGTAACTCAGAGGATGGCTTTGGCTTGGCATTTATACAATTATTTGGTCTGACGTTTGCCCTCCCCCTAGTATGAGCTTCCTTTATCTTCAATACCTAATGGTCTTAAATCAAATAAAATGCACATTACCGGGCATTACTGAGGCTAAGAGCTACAAGCCATTTCCTGCTCCTGATAACAAAGAGAATAGGCAGCTAGATTAAAGAGAAAAGAAACAGGCGGCAGCATCTACCAAGGATTTGGTGTATGTAGGAATCTTTATTAAAAGGAATGCTGTCAAGTCTTTTTGACAACTAAACCCTATTATAAGGTGTCTGGGAATATCTGTCTATTAAAAAAAAAACAACCCACGCCTACTCACTGAACAATATGGGAATCACTACTGTGGAAGTTTGAGATAAGTGACTCCCACGTGGTGCTATACATCCAAATAAGACCATCTTTTTGTTTTGGGTTTGTACACACACTTAGCACAACAGGGTCCATGACTAGGGCTCCAAGGTGCTACAGTAATACCAATAATTAATTAATAATAATGTTGGACCTGGAACATTGTGCTCTGCTGATCCATGCAACCAGCAGCAGAAGTAAATGGAGGTAAATGGAGCAATACTGAGTTACACCAGGGGCTAGATTATGGCCCACTTGCACGGGCTACCTCCATTGTAGGTAGTAGTGCGGGGGGCGGGAACAGCCCATGCAGAGCTTGGTAGGAGTGGGAGGTGGTGGGCTGGGCATGCCGGAAGACCTGTGCTGTGCCAGGTATTGGACTGACATAGGATACATTAGCCCTGGAGCAGTGGGGGAAAAAATGGGATTCAGACTGTGACTGAGAGTCACAATCTTCTTCCTGATCTGCTCCTGGAATAAAGCAACGATACACTGTCTGAGACACAGGTTTGCCTCAAGTGAGGATATGGCCGTGTATATTAATAGACATGCAAACAGAGTGTCCCTTTACTTAGCAAAGCATTGAGGTACTGCAATATACATGTTAAATAATGAGAACAAGAAGAATCTCAAGAGATTGCAGCCCCCTGCCTCTGGCACTCTGCATAGTAAAGAAACCAATGCAACGAAAAATAATCACCTCAAGCTACAACAACAGCAAAGATAAAATATTAGGTTAAAATACACCATAAAATTAGGACAGGCAAATAAATGCAAGAGACACGAGAAAACCACTCCGTGGTCCAGATTAAAGACAGGCATGTGACGCCCTGGGCATTTCCTTTTCTCTGGGGGAGAGGAGAAAAGGTGCAAAGGTAAAAATCAGATAAACCACTAGTAAAGATCCCACCCGACCCAGGTACACAGAGAGAGACACACGCAGCAAATAAGCAGCACCATCAGGAATAAGGAAAGTTCCTCAGGCCAGGGAGGCTCAGATGCACCACGATACATCGGCCAGAATCGTTACTCCAGACCAGTGTAAACAAGAGCAGAATTCAGCCCTGGAAATGGATCTGAAGGCACTGGAGACCTGACTCAAAAGCGTTGAGCAGCCAGCCGGTAGTTGGTCAGCACCTCTGACAATCAGAATGTTCAGCACCAAGGCTAACGATAATACAACATAGTAATGGAGGCTTTGATTCAAGCTATCCTAACAGGCAGGATCCATTATCGGAACACCATACTTGCAGGTTTTCTAGTTAAACTGAGAGTCAAGAATCCAGGAGCTCATTATGACCAAGAGCAACCCAGCACAGTCTCTGTTGGGCTTAAGAGCTTCCAAGCCAAGTCTGTTGCCAGTCTGGAAACATTAAACAAGTATTTGAAAAAACTGTCCAAGCCCCGAAAATGTTATTATGGGTCCACAAAATTCCACTGCTGGGCAAAGACAGACCTGGACAGTCTTTGAAGGCCACTTGAAGTTCTGTCCCAAACTAAAGATATCCCCTACAGAAACAAGAAGCATGGTTCCCGCTTGACCTGTGCATACCAAAGCCAACTCCATATAGATGCTAAGAGAGATACAACAACTGAAGGAAGTGGGGTGGTATTGGATGCCCTGCGACTTCCCTGCTGGATGGACACCATACACCCACACTCAAACACAAAACAAGCACCCTTCTAGTTAAAGCTCTATCAGAAGGGACTGGCCCACCAGTCAGCAACAGAGCAGGTACATCCTCTCGAGTCATAGACGGGGGAAACGGAAACATCACAACACAATAAGAAATGGATGGGGAGTGAATCATAGGACAATAAACCCCAATTCAGCAAAGTACTTAAACACATGGATAAATTCATCCCTAGTCACCATGGCACTTAAGCACGTGCCTAAATCTCAGTGCTGAAGTGCTTTGATGAATTGGGGCCATAATGCAGAATAAAGACTTTGGATGCAGAATGGCAACTTCATTTTAAGAACAGGACGCTCTGACATGGCTGCATCTGTGAAAGAAGGTTGTTAATAAGAGCTGCAAATCCCACATGTACATAGAGATCAGAATAATCCAAGAAACAATGGTCCAAAGGGCTCAGGGGAGCCGTCAGAGGATTCAGAGCATTTCACCAATAATTAACCTCTTTGAACCTGACTCTGGCCAACAGTAACCCAAAGTTATTAATGGGTCTTTGTGGACATATGTTCATATCGCGCGCGCACACACACACTCACGTCATCACTCAGCAATAACTAGTCTCACTCATGGCCGACTCTGTTGATGGCATGAAGCCAGAAGTCATCTTGATGGCCCATAACAGTCACAGAGGAGACACGCTGGCAGGAGAGCTTGCCCTGCCAGCACCCATCCTTTATTTGTTTGGTGGATCAAAGCAGATCGAGGGATCTCATTCCAGCACCTTTCCTGAGCACACAAGGCAAAAAAGGCACCAGGTAAACCAGCCCCAAAGCAACAAATGACAAATGTCCTATTACTCGCCCCAAAGCCACTAAACAAACTGAGTCTACAAACAGATGAGCAACTAACATCCACAACAGGTATAACCTAGAAGAATAGTCTCATCCCTTAGTAACAGAGGGGTGGAGCAGCCTGCAGATGCAACACACACTATACACGCCATATTCAATCAGCACTGCACAGAGGAAAAAGAAGAAGTTCAAGAGGAAACATTACAAGGAGTGCACTGGAACAATTCCCATTGGAGAAAGGAAACACACTATTCCATGGCTGTTAAAATGAGAAAACCCCCAGGGCCTACAGAGATCCAACTTCTGGAGATTTGAACAACCCCATACACTTTGAATAATTATCTGAAATTTACCAAGAGTTTTAGAAGGGATGTGAGTCCCTCTGCTTCACAGCATAAGCCAGCCACTAATGAGTGGCAGGGACAGGAAGAAACTAGCCCCCGTCTGTAGCTGCCCTTTGCATGGTTTTCTGCACCATCCTCTTTAGAAGCTGGCGCTGGCCTCTCTCATAGACTGCACATCAGCAAGTGGGAGTAAATAGGTCTAGGGAATTTAATGTACCCTTACGGAGTCTAATTACACACTACCTCTCAATTTTGCTCTTAGGCCTTCTAGTCTACTCACAAATGTTGTACTGCATTAACTGTACTGGAATAGTTAGAGCATAACAGTTACCCTAATGTGGAAATATGCTGGCATAAAAGTGTTTATACCACGATAGCTTATTCCCGTACGGTAAGGGGAATAAGCTATTCCAACCTGAGCTCTTTAATATTAGTATAACGACATCCACA